CACAGGGGACAAGGAAGCGGAAGAGTCCCGCGAGCGAGATCAAGATACAACACTTCGGTCGGTCCAGCGGATGCAACTTACAAGGGGGCGGAGCTACGGCTCTTGTGACAGCGAAGGATGGCTAGCGACAGAGGCGTCTCAAGATATGATTGGTAACCCTGCCGGGGTGGGGGGTTAAAGCAGCAAAGAAAGAAAACGGGATTTGGGATTTTTGTTTTTGTTTTTTGGTTTTAAATAAGAAAAGGGGAAAGGTCAAGTCAGCTCTGTCTGTAAATCACCTTGTTTCTTACACAGTAAAAGAGACACAATATGGTTTGTTTCGGACCATTTCCCCCCCCCCCACCCCCCCAAACCCCTGCCCTGGGGATGTCACCGCCGGGAACTGCTGTGTTTTGCTCTGTCGTGCGTCCGGGAAAGTGCAAAGCCCTGGCACTGATTGGGGGAGGCCAGGGTTGGGAACCCGTCAAAGGCCTGGCTCGCCAGAGGGCTCAGAGCTTTGATGGGGTCTCTCACTGGCTGCTTTGCCAGACGTCGGCCCTGGGGGGATCTATTCCTGGTTCCACTGAACCAGGACAAGCCACTTCTCCGGGCCGTTTCCCTTTTGCCTAGACAGAGCTCTTTGGGGTGGGGGCGGGGTGGGGGGGCTGCCTTTCCCTCTGGCTGTGCAGTGCCTGGCAAGCTCTGGTCTGCAGCCTCAGCCTAGGGCTGCAATACAGAAAGTAGCGCTATCATGGAGCTGGGTGTTTTGGGTCTGTCCCAGTGCCAGGGGCGAGGGGGGGGGGGAATGTTGGAGCTCGGAGAGGGGCTGATGCCTGCTAACCCTAAGGGGGGGGCCGTTGTCTGGCCCCACAGTCACTCGCTGGTCCATGCTCACTGGCCTTCCAATCGCCTCTCCCTGCTAACCCGCTTGCCTCCCTTTACCCCGACCCTCAGCTGGTACCAGGCCTGATGGGCAGCGCGCGAGTGATGGGGCCCGGGTCCTGTGGGTAGCAGAGGCTTGGGGGAGGGAACCTGTGAGCCTCAGCCCCATGCCCCCCCGATTCATGCCCGAGGCTCCTTTTTTCCCAGCAAAGGAGGAAAAAAAAGATGAAGAAAAAAAGAGAACGAGAAAATAAACGGATGAGAAGGAACGACACGGCTGATGGGAAACGGGCATCTTCATGCCACATGCAGCGGGCGTGCCTCATGCCAGCTGGTTAGCTGGTTACCGCACCGGTGTGTGTGGGGGTGCACGGCTCTGGGGGGGGTGCAGGGCTCCGGTGCCAGCCTGTCCAGGCCCCGGGCACTGCACCCTGTGACCAGGTTGCTCCAGCAGCTCCGGCGGGCGGAGGGAGAGACACAGAATATGGGAGTCAGGGACCCATCTGAGAATGGCCCTGGGTGAGATGGATAGGATGCTGGGGGAATGGGGCGTGGGCACCCCAGGATCTCGGGCTGGGGGGAGGGACTGGGACCAGGGCGGGGGAGGCCTCCACGCTAGGCCTGCTGTCCAGTGGCAGGGTGCAGGGACCACGCTATCGACCAGCGGCACGGAGCCCCAGAGCCGGGACCCATGTGCACTTTGCTGGCCTGATCTCACCCCACAGGAGTGGGATCAGGTCCCCGCTTCACTCCCCAGGGGCGGCTTTCTGCCCCATGCTGGCATACAGCTGGAGCAGCCAGGCTCCAACTCCGGCTCTCGGGCCTGGAGCAGGGGAATGAGGCCTTTGCAGGGGCTGAGCTGAATCTGGTGCTAACCGACGGGGGTGACTGAGAGATGGGGTCAGCAGGGGCTGGTTTGTACCCCCGCCCCTGCAGCTCTGCCAGTGCCCCTCACTCCCGACCCGCAGCCCCCTGCTATCCCAGCCCTGGGCTCCCCCTCTGTGGCTGTCCTCTCCTCACCAAACTGTTTCGGACAAACGCCTGTAATCCAACCCGCCCCGTTCTCCCCAGCAAGCGGCTCTGTCCCAGTGCCCACGTTTCCCCCCGCACACCGAACACCCAGAGGCTGGCGTTTCCAAACACGAGGGCCCAGACCAAGGCATGGGGCGCGACTCCAGAGGGAGCTGCGGGTTCTCTGACCCCCAGGCCGTTCAGTTAGGGGGCCCAAGCCTGGCTCGTGTTTGTAAATTTCAGCATCAAGGGCACCCCTCCCCCCCCGCTACCCCCAAGACTCATCACCCTGCAAAGCAAAGCCCATCGGCTTGGGCAGACTCCCAGCCACTGGGGACCCACTGGTCTGTTCAGCCTAGATCTCCCCTGCCTCCGCTGACCGAGGCCCAGCAGAACACGAGCCCAGCCGGTGAAGAGAGAGCACAGGGAGGGACTGTGGCGTTCTCTAGGCACCGAGAAACAAAGGATGGGCTTGCAGAGAAGGGCCTGGGCTGGGACCCAGAAGACCTGGGCTCAAATCCTTCCTCTGCTACAGATTTCCTGTGTGACCTGGTCACATCACTTTGTTGCTCTGTGCCTCAGTTGCTCATCTGTACAATGGGGTCAATAACCCTGCCTCTCCCCCAACTCTTCGTTTATTTAGACCATAAGCAACTTGGGGCAGGACCTGCCTCTCACTGTCTGTGCAGCACCTGACACAACAGGGCCCTGACCTCAGCTGGGGCCTGTGCAGCGCTCGGCATGATGGGGGCCCTGATCTCGGCCAGGGTCGGTGCAGCGCCCGGCACAACGGGGCCCTGCTCTCAGTCGGGGTCTGGGCAGCAACGGGGCCCCAATCTCGGCTGGGTTCTAAGAGTGAATGCAATGCGGATTACAGTAAATCCTTAAAGAAATGGAGCCTGCCACTGCGAAGCAGTTAAACCCGGCCCCGGTGCTGTCCCTCTGTCTCTTTTATGTGCAAAAAAGAAACTCAGGTCAATGACAAAGACGCCACGAAACAAATGAACAAGCAAAAAAACCAAACCAAATCAAACCGATGCAGAACGAGAAACAACCCCCGTGAGCCGCGCACGGAGAACAGGTATCAGAATAAAAGCAGGATACGTTCACGTGCCACAACACACACAGACACGCACAGACCCCGCCCCCTGCCCCACGCTACGCCGCGCTGGGGGTCTTCACCTGGCTGAGACAGGGCTCTGCGCAGCACAGCCGGAAAGAACTGCTAGCAGGAGGTTATGTTCTTCTTTCTTAAAATACAGGGTGAAAGTCTGTTATACGGATCTCTAAGATAGACGGGGGTGGGGTGGGGGTCGGGCTACATGCGCGACAGCTATGGAGATATCGTGCATTATGAGTGGGGGGGGCCGCATTATTATCACTGTTATTTTAATGCTTGATCTGGTGGGACTTTGTCGTGTTGTGGCTTTTCCTTCCACGCTGCATAAAAGCCTTCAGGGTCATTTACTGCCCTGGCGATTTAGCCAATGGGTTCTTTGGAGCGGGACAGTGGCTCATTCTGTGTCTGTGCAGCGCCCGGCGCACTGGGGCCTTGATCTTAGCGGCTAAATAGTAATCCCGTGTGTGCACGCAGGAGGGGTGCGTTTCTGCCCTCTGCTGGGGGGGGGGGGGGAGCTGGCGCGGCTCCGAGACACTTGGTTATTTGAACGGCTCGATGAACAGGTCAGGGAGCGGCTGGTTGCAGGTCTCCTGCTTTCTCGTTGGAACGGGAAACAGCGCGGCAACTTTGCAAGAAAAATGTAAGTTTTGTCCAAATGTCACATGTTGCCACGTCCCACGTGCCCTGATTCCAGCCAGAGCTGGTCAGACAACGTGTGTGTGTGTCTGTCCATGTGTGTGACATAGGGGCATGTATGTGTGTGTGTATAAGCATGCGTGTGTACATGTGTGTGTACATATGTATGTGTGCCCAAGGGCATGTGTAGCTGTGTGTGTGTGTGTGCTCATGTGTGAGTGTGTGGGGGGTGGGGTGGGTGCCTGTACACTGCATGTGTGTATTTATATGTGCGTGTGTAATATGTGTGTGCCCTTGAACGTGTGCATGTGTCTCCATGTGTGTGTATATGCGGATGTATCTGTGTGCCCGCGTATGTGCGTATACGTGTGTGCGTACGTATGCCCATGAGCCTGTTCTGTTCATTCCCTCTGCGGCATCTGGCACTGGCCACTGTCGGCAGACAGGATACTGGGCTAGATGGACCTTTGGTCTGACCCAGTATGGCCGTTCTTATGTGTATATGTGTGTGTACACATCTGTGTTTGTGTGTGTGTGTGTGTGTGTGTGTGCAGGAATATATGTGTGTGCCCATGTGTGTGTACCCAGCTGCATGTGTGTGTGCCTGTGTGTGCTTATGTGTGTGCTTATGTGTGTGTATCTGTGGGGACCTGTGTGTGTCTGTGTGTGCCCACATGCATATATGTGTGGTCACACATACCTATATATGTGCCCATGTGCATGTGTAAAGGTATGTGCCTGTGAGTGTGTGTGTGGATGTGTGTGTGTATCTGAGTGTGCCCAGGCATGTATCTGTATGTGCGTGTGTGTAGCTGTGTGTGCTTGTGTATGTGTGTATAGCTGTGTGCGCCCGTGTGTGTGTATCTGTGTGCGCCCGTGTGTGTATCTGTGTGCGCCCATGTGTGTGTATCTGTGTGCGCCCGGGTGTGTGTACCTGTGTGTGCCTGTATCCGTGTGTGTGGATTTTTGTGCCTGTGTAGAGGGGGAATCACAAAAATGCCATTGAAATTGGTCGGGGCGCACTGAGGACAGTCCGCCCTGGTTGACAGTCGCGCCGGGAGCAGGGGGACCCGTCCCCCGCCACAGCCCCCGTACTGCACCCCCCATTTTTCCAGGGCCCTCGGCTCAGTCCTGCCCAGGGCTGGGGGCTGTCGCCCTCTTGTGGCCAAAAGGCCCCAGGGCTGTACACCCTGAGAGCGAAGCCGCCCAGCGTTACCCCAGGGGGCTCTGTCCGGCGGGAGGTAACACAGCCAGGGCCTCACCCCCACACTCCCATTACGCAGCAGCTCACCAGCCCAGCCTGCTGTGCCCCCCCCCAGCTGTGTTTGGGGGTCCCTGTGCACGGGGGGGGGCAGGGCACCCACCTGGGGCCTTAGTACGGCCGGTTGGCGTCTTTCGGTCGCTTGAGCTGCACTTTCAGGCGCTTCATGCCGATCTGGAAGCCGTTCATGGCCTGGATGGCAGCCTGGGCGCTGGCGGGATTGTCAAAACTTACGAACCCTGGGGAGGGGGTGGGCGCCGGGGAGGGGTAGAGAGGCAGGGGGAGAGGAGGGGGGCAGAGAGAGGCAGAGAAGGCTGAGTGGCCCTGGGAGATCCAACTAGCCCTTTGTTCATGGCTAGGGCAGTGCCCCCGTGGGTGCCTGGCTCGGGGTGGGCAGCGCCGTACCCGGAGGCTCAGCTTGGCACCAGGGCTGCGGTATGCCCAGCTGCCCCGTCCTTGGGGGCCAGGAACCCGGGATCTCCTCCCCGAGGCTCGGGTCTGGGGGCATCTATCGGTGGCAGGTAGAGGGTGCCCGACGCAGGGTTTGCTCCCCGGTGCCAGCTGCTGTGGGTGACAGGAGACGGGGCTAGGAGAGCCCTGGTCTGGGCAGATCCGCTGGGGAAGCCAGCTCCGCATCAGCCTCAGTGTCAGCCCCTGTCTACAAGAGAGGTCGCAACAATCCTTTGCCTGGGAGGTCGGCCCCTCGCCCCGGTGCCCACTGGCTGAGTCGGCTGCTCAGCGGGCCGGACACTGGCCCACAATGCAGCAGGAAGGGGCCGGGGAAGCCCATTGGCTGGCCTTACCGAAACATTTGCTCTGATTGGTCGCCCGATCCACGAAGACTTTGGCAGAGATGACATTCCCGAAGGGCAGGAACATCTGCAGGATCTCGGAGTCAGTGAACTCCTGGGGCAGGTGGTAGATGAAGATGTTACAGCCCTCGGGGCCTGCGGGGAGGAGGCGGGTGAGAGTGGGCGGGTGCTCAGGACACGCCACACCCTTGGGTTCCCTTAGATGCCCCCATGCTGGGCCCCCATTCTAGATCCCCCACACACCGGGCATCATTCTAGATACTACACACCGGGCCCCTTTCTAGATTGCACACACTGGGCCCCATGCTGGGCCCCCATTCTAGAGCCCACACAGTGAGGCCCCATTCTAGATACTACACACCGGGCCCCTTTCTAGATCACCCATGCTGGGCCTCCTGTTCTAGATCCTCCATGCTGGACCCTCCCCAGAGCCTTCTGCTCTGGACCTCCCACCCTGGACTCCTCTATACCCTTCACTCTGGCTACCCCAGTCTGGACCCCCCCATTCCAGACCCCCCGTCGCTCTGGACTCCCTGTTCTAGACCACTCTATAGCCTCCAACTGTGGACCCCCACATCCTCGACCCCTCTAGATCCCATGGATCTGGACCCCTGTAGATCCAACAGTCTGGACCCCCATTCTAGACCTCTCGTTCTGGACTCCCCAGTGTGGACCCCTCTAGACCCCCCCTGCTCTGGACCCCGTGTTCTAGACCACTCTAGATCCTCTCATTCTGGCCCCCATTCTGGATCCCTGTAGCTCTCCCATGCTCTGGACTCCCTCTGTGAAGTGTTGGGGTCCTCAGGGAAGATGTGGGAGTCCTGAGGTGCACAGTGAGGCAGGTCCTTGGTGACCCCAGGCCACATCTGCCCCCTGCAGACCTCTCCCTACTGAGAGGTGTTGGGGCAGGGCTCCTGGCATTGACAAGGGATGTGAGGGGCCCAGGGGCACAGCTGGGGGTGGTTTCAGGGGGACAGGGTCTGGGGGCGCTGGGGGGATGATGGGGTGGCGGTGCCTAGGAGGTGCTGGGGGGATGATGTCAGGGGGCGGTGCCTAGGAGGTGCTGGGGGGACGATAAC